TTAGGATTGTCCTTTGTTGCAGGAGTTCCTCTTATCCAGTTTTCAGTTCTGTCTCAGGGGTAATTTTTCCACAAGTAGTTGTAAATTGGCTGTGTCCGCGGGAGGAGGCGAGTTCCGAGTCTGCCTACGCCACCGTCTTGACTTCTCTCGCAGTCTTTTGTTCTTAAAAATAATTAAGCCAAAGAGACACATTTTGGAGTGGCTAATTCTGATCCCCGACACAGCTAATATCAGCCATTATCCATATTCCTCTGCAGATCCCTCTGACTGGAATGTCCCCACCCCTCACTACCCAACTGGCAACCTCCTCAGCCCAAATTTCAACTCCTATTTAAAACCCATTCTCACTCTTTCCCCAACCCTGAGTGTTCCCATAGCACTGTGTGTGTGTGCACATGTGTGCACACATGTGCATATAAACTGAGACTGCTACTGATCTAATATGCCACAAGCTTAGATTCTGGGTAGATGCCACAAGGTGAGAAGTGTGAGATCTGAAGGGCAGTCAGATGCAGAATGACAGAGATGCTGAAATACCTTGTAGATAGCATGCAGGCTGGGCAGGCTCCTCATTGTGGCCACAGAAATAACCTCAGCCATCAGGTGTCCCTCAGCAGGTGTGACTGTAATAGGTACAGCTGGAAATCAAAGCTAGAGACCCAGGTCTTGGCCAAAAGCCAGGCCATGAGGGGATCCGAGGGCAGGAACAGCACAGGTTGCAGGCATCTGAGACAAGATGGCTGGAGCTAGTATGGGGGATCAGAATTGGCCACCTCAAAATATTTCTCTTTACCTTGATTATTTTCTCTGAAAGAAACTTTGACCTCCCCCCCCCCCCACACTAACTGCCCAAAAGAATTTAAGATAGAAGGCCTGTCCCCAGGACAGGCCATCACCATAGATAACTCTGGGTATAGATAGACTGGGAAGGTCCTTGCTAAGTCCATTCTTATCAAAGCTCTAAAAACCAAGTAAAAGTAGAAGTTACCATTGTAAGAAACATTTACATTCATAAGGGAAATCTCCATTTGTAAACGTATCTCCCTCTCTGTACTGGGAAGAAGGGGGCATGACCTTATCTCTAGAAACTCTTATCATTGCGGAAGGCAGGACTTAAATCTGCATACTCTTGTTTACTGTGCTTTTCTGGTAATCCCCCATAACTGACTTCCCCCACCCCCAACATCCTCCTTTGTCTTTAGCTGAAGATAGTATTTGAGATGAGAACCTCCGCCATTTTGTCAAGTTACTCAGTTTCGCTGGTTTCTCCCATGTATACATGTTATAAGGCTTTGTTTGATTTTCTCCTACTATTCAGTCTCATGTCAATTTAATTTGTAGCCAGCCAGAAAGGACCTAGAGTAAGTAGAGGATTGTCTTCCTCCCCTTCACTAGCACAGGAGGGAGTCGGGGCTGAGGGCCTGTGGGTCTAAGTCCCTAAAGGGGGTCAATGTCTGGGGGCAGGAAACCTGGGTCTCTTACCTGGATAACCATGGGCAAGAGTCTTCCATCAGGCTGAAGCTTCAACACGACCAGAGGAGCTGCCACATATTGGTGCTTAAAAATGATGGCATTAGGCTTGACCCCATCCAGCAGGGAGAAATCAGCTTCAAACAGAGATCCAGCCTGAGGGCGGGGGGCAGGGATAGATAAAGGGGTAGGGTCGGTTCTGGACCTGCCCGTCTCTCATTTGCCAGGTTGGATCCTTCCTCTACCCATCCAGTCTTTTACTTTAAACACAATCACTCTCCCCATAACCAAGCCCTAAATGCAAGGTTTTCATGCTCAGTGTCTTCCATCAGACTTGAAGCTCCTGAGGTGAACTTTCTGGGTTTCCACTCTGCACACCCATCCCCCGCAACCAAAGTCCTTCCTTATCACCCCCCCCCCTCAGGCTTTAGCCAAATGTAGCACAAAATGGTTCCTTTACCCCGCCCCCAGCTCTCTCCGAGGCGTTGTTCAGTCTCTCTTGCTGTTTCCCTCCAGAAGCCTGAGCTCTTGCCTAAGGCTAAATACATGTAATGAGGAAGGAAGACATGAAAGTGGAAATGGAAGAGGAGGAGGAAAAGAAGGCGATAACAGGAGTCGGTGTAGATCAGTGGCTCTCAAGCAGGGGTGATTCTGCCCCCCAGAGGATATTTGGCAATGTCTGGAGACACTTTTGGTTGTCACAACTGGGGGGATGTTTCTGGCATCCAGTGGGTAGAGGACAGAGATGTTACTAACCATCCTACATGCAAACAACAGCCCCCCACAACAAAGAGTTATCTGACTCAAAATATCAATAGTACCATAGTTGAGACACCCTAAGTGTAGATGGAGGAGGGTGTAGATTAAAGAGGTGTCAGTGGAGGAAATGAGGGAAGCGGGGCAGGAGGCAGGAGAAGGAAGCAGAGAGAAACGAGATGACCATGGCTGGGGTGGTGGGTGAACAGAGGGAGTGCAGCACCTGGAGTTTTTTCTCCATCTGGGTCTTTAAGTCTTCCACCCCTGGAGGCAGTGCCAGCCGGGCTGGGAGGCTGGTGGAATGCCTCAGGGGCATGGGGTTTGCACCGTTGAGGAACTGGTACCCAAACAGTGCATCATCCTTCCAGGAATTTCTAACCTGCTCTAAGGACATCAGTTGGGGAGCATGCTGTGAGCTCTGAGCTCCTGATCCTACTAACATATCACTCTCCTACCCTCTCTCCCTCTTCTTTCAAATCCTTGGGCTGGAAATATGTATATAGGTTTTAGGAGGTTGTGGTAACTGACCAGCCAGGCCAGTGTTTCCACACGGGAATATTTTTTTGAAATCTTCCAGTCTTTTCACAGAATTTGTGAGATCCAATGTCTCCTTGAGGGCCAAGCCCTTCAACCTGTGGAGAGAAGGCCAATGCAAGAAGATCAAGAAAGGATCCCACCTTGCATCTGGGATGCAAGTGCCCGACCTCCACCTGGCACTAAGACTTTTGCCGGAAAGGGAGTGAAGTCCAAATCCTCATCCTCGAGGAACTGCTCATTCCTGGGAATATCCCGCTGCGTATTCCCTGCTATAGGCAGGATTATCCCGTCTTTCCAGGAGCTCCACCTGGAGGAAGAACACGGAGTCGGGAGAAAGTGAGGCCGTGGGTTTCCTGGGATCTGATAGGGGATCAAAGGCTTTCTTGGGCGCACCGGTTCACCTTCCTTCTTGCCTTAGAGCTCCTGCTCCTGATCTTTCTTAAACAGATTCTGGGGGTCATAGCTCACAGTCCGGGTTGGGGAGGGGACACAAGAGCCCGACGCCTCCTTTGACATCCCTCCGCGCTCGGCCTCTTCCGTCAGCCATCCTCTCAGCCCCACGCTCTTGCACTTCTCCCCCTCCTCCAGTTCTCTCGCCTTTCCCTCCTATATCATAGCGTTTCCCGGACCCCTTCTTCTCCCAGCCCGCCGGGTGCCGCCCCCGTTTCCCCACTGCTGTCACCAGTGCCCGCGGGCAGGCAGATGATCCCGTCGCTCTGCACCCGGCGATAGCAGGGGAAAAGGGCCTGGCCCTGGGTTCCGGGGCCCGTCACGGTGTGACCCACCTGCATAACCAGCCGAAATCTAACAAGCCTTTGTGTTTGCGTAGCTTCACCAGCAGGGGGCGCCCCAGGTGTAGGGGGACGTCGACGTCACACTCTGTCTCTGGCGGGACAGGACCCGGGTCAGAGGCAGGTTTGGGGGTCCTCAGAGTGGGCAGGGTCAGTGATCCTTCAGAGAAGCGTGGCTCCGCTTCCCCCCCGGAGCACTCCCCAGGAGAGGCCGAATCCCGCCTGGTGGTGAGGAGGAACAGCCCACTCTGGGGTCTCCGGCCTCCCGGTCCCCGCCGCGTCCGGGAAAGCGCAGCGCGCCCAGCAGGCGTCTCATCTCTGCTCCTTCCACCCGGGCAGAAAAATGCCGCTCTTCTCTCCCGGGCCTCCCCCTTTCTCTTTTCCTACCTGGCAACCCACCCGCGCCCGACCCCCTTCTCCCGCGACCGAGGCTCGGGCGCCCGCAGGCCCCTTTTCCCGTCCCCGCTCCCCAGTGGCCGCCGCAAGGTCACGGGTCCCCGCGCCCGGCCGTGCTCTGCATTGACCTTGCCCCACACTGGCCCCAGCCGCTTCTCTAGGGCCGCCTCTCCGTGCTCGCCCAGCAGCCACAGCTGCACCAGGTCGCTGGAGCCCGCCAAGACCGGTGACCATACGGATCGTGTACTTGCCCAGCTTGCCCGGACTGGGAGGGAACCTGGGGAAATTAAGCAATTAAGAGGATCTGAGGCCCAGGCCCCGGGAAGCCACTCTTAGACAAGTGTCTGTTGTGTTGGGTCCCAGGGTGCCCATAGGTTCCTCTCCACTCAGATGCACCTGTCCCTGGGTTTCTCACAGCAGCTCCGGAGTGTGCACCGCACACTTATTCACTTGGCAAACACTCCCTGGCCGGTTCCATGCCCAACCAGGACTGAACACACCGGCCTCCAGACGATGACAGATAAACACTAGCCATCACCTCCACCAAATTTTGGTGAATAAATGACTAAAAGAGCAACAAGCAACAGAAATGAGGGAGGTGGGATGGTTTGAAGTGTGGGAGTGTTTTCAGTGAAAAGTGAGTAAACCATTTTGGCAAGGATGCAGGGCTCTCAGTTGAGGACACGTATGAGATAATGCTGGACAGACGAAGCAGAGGAGTCTGCTGTCCACACTGGGGAGCCAAGAGGGGGAGTTTGGAATTCCTCATCAGTTCCAGTCATGAAGCTCCCACTGGGCTTTCCTGAAACGGGCTCTCTGGGGCCAGCACCCCAGGCTGAGCACCTATAATGGGCCCTATCAGCATGCTCCCTTCAGGACCAATTCTGCCCACCCTACTCGCAATCTTTTGCTCTCCTCATCCTCTTTAGGGACAACTGCTGTACCAGGCACGAATCCTCCTAGATTCCTTCTTTGGATGTTCATTTCTATCCACCCCTTCCCAGGCACCCCTGCTCGCCAGTCAGCTGCCTCTTTCCTGGACCTTCTGTTCTATTGTGAGCAAAGGCCTTGAACCCACAGCTTTTTGCTTAAACCCCGCTTCCATCTCCTCATGTCGAAATAGTTAATCAAAATAGTTGGTTCAAGTGGGAATCAAAGAGTATACAGACATACCATAAACGTTTTGTTTTAAAGTGAAACCATAAATGTATAGCCCCTCATGAATGTTTTTATCTAGGATGGAAATTTTTTGAGTGTGGGTCCATAATAAGAGCTTCTCTAGGTCTTTCTTGCATAAACCACACCCAAATAAGTTGACGTTTATTTAAAATGGAGCTAAATCCTAAAGGTTCTTGTGGGAAAAAAATGAAAGGCAGTATCTCTCCAGATCTTTATAGTTTTCCCCAAACCTTTCACAGTTGTCTTCCTACTCCTAATCATTAACTTGACAGTGACTTTTTAATGATTCTTGTTTATAGAGTCATAAAGTGTTCAACTTGGTTTTAATAAGAACAATACCCTTATGTATACTCATTCCATCAGTTTGTCTGAAAATTTCATAATTACAATAACAAATACACCTGACATAAACAGTTTGGGAAGCTTACACAACTACTCTTGGTAAACATAAAGCTCAACTGGTGGGCATTGAAGTGCCGGGCGTGTCAGGACTTAGCCTACTAGCTATGTGCGCTTGGCAAACTGTGGGCATGTCAGTCTCTTTTGGAGGCGATGGACAGCGTTGGTTACCCGATCATTTGGTTAAGTTTAGGTGATTTAGAAACTTCTATTGTCAAATCCAGTTTTTCTCTGATGCTGCCCTGTCCACGGCAGCTACCTCTCCCAATACTCAAGAATCTGGGGACCATGAGTGGTCACAATGCTCTCTGCTCCCACAGCCATGTGCACAGAGTTGTGTCGCTGCTGTCCCTCAGTGACTCCCTTCTGAAGTTCACGCTGTTCACCAATAAAACCCTCTTTCCTTCTTCCTCAAAATTACAAGCATTCTCCTTTCCTCCCCATTGACTCTAACACCTAAGAAACTTCACCTCCACTCTGTGAAGTGTGGGAGTGGTTTCAGTGAACAGTGAATAAACCACTTTGGCAAGGATGCAGGGCTTTCAGTTGAGGACAAGTATGAGATAATGCCATTGTTGTCAATAGCCTCAACTTGTATTCAGAGAAGACCCTTCTTACACTTTGGCAACACGTTCCCTCCACCGACTGAGCCTCCAAATCCCTATTTTTCACATTTCAGTTGCTAATCCAATCACGACTTAGACGTCATTTATTATCACTTAAAACTCACTGGCAGTATATTATACCTATGGTGGTTTAATTCCTCAGCCCACGAACCATTCTCCCTTTCCTGAAGATTGTGACTGGAGAGAGGAGAGAGAGAGCAACTGTGAGCTCCTGAGCATTTCCAGCCCCTTGCTTCAGCCCCTGGGAGACCCAGCTCAGTTCTTCTCTTTGGGTTCTGTGAGATATCAAGTGTCCTTCCAAGAAATCCCCCTTGATGGCTTAAGTTAGTTTGAAGTGGGTCTCTAGGGTGAAAGACATCCTATCAGGAGTAAGTCCAAGTTACAGATGCATAGAAATAAATTATGACACCAAGTAGTGACGAGTCTCAAGAGCTGAGTCTCAGTGAACTTGTGTTCCTTCTCTAATCACCTCCCCATTGTGTATGTGGACACCCCTTCCTGCTGAGTAGTGGTTTGTTTACTTAATGATTTCTTGTCCTGAGTCCACAATTTTCCAATCCTTCTTGCTTAGTAGTACAATCTTATTTCAATATTTAAGATTGCTTATTTTATAACTTCCATCTCAAAGTCCCTTCAAAGCTCATATCCTTGCCTCCACCTACTTCTAAACTATGCTCCCTCCACCTATCTAATTAAACGTCCTAACTCAGGCTACACCTGTTTTTGGACCTAGAGGCTTAGAGTAAATGAGAGGGCTGATCTGCTTTTCATACACTTTCCCTTTTCTCTCTCTTTGTATTTCATAATCTCACACATCCTCTATGAAGGAAGCTAAGACAGAATGAAGAAATTCCACTAAGTAACTCATCAAAGGTATCTCTGCCATCCACTACTGGTTACCTGTGTGGATATGATGGTTCATATAAGTAATGTTTGGTTCTTGGAACAGCGTTCAGTTTCCTGCCTGTCCTTTCTATCGAAAGCACTCCTCCTAGAGCAGGAGCCATATTTCATCAGTGTAAAATCCCAACACCATTTTCAGGCTGGATGTCCCACTGTTTGGCCTGGAAATACTGTAGTCCCATGACTTCTGCCCCTCTGCTAGCCTCCATGCCCCTCCATGTGGAGCCACCGGAATCACTGATACCCTCCTCTGTACCCTGTAAGGGCTACGGAGAAGCAGGGTGAGTTGAAAATGGCTCCCATGTACCTCCAAGACAAAATACATTATTTTCTTAGGTTATTAAGTTCTTTCAGGCCTTCTTGGAACTCTTTACAGGTGTCTCATTCCAAAATCTCTGGTGACATATGTGGAAGATAAACAAACAAATACATAGACGCAGAGAACAGATTGGTGGTTGCTAGAGGGGACAGGGATGGGGTGAGGGCAAAAGGGGTAAAGGGGTACATATGCATAGTGATGGATGGAAACCAGACTTTTGCTGATGAACATGATGCAGGCTATACAGAAGCCGAAATATAATGATGTACACCTGAAACTTACACAGTGTTATAAATCAATGTGAACCCAATCAAATAAGATAAAAATCTCCACTGAGATTCGTTCAAAAGTCTCCAGACCAACAGCAAACATGAGTTTCTATATTAAAGTATGCCCCCAAATTCAGAAGACAAATAGCTCTCTCTTCTTCCCCATAATGGAGGAAGAGGACTAAAAAGGACAATGCTCCATACTCCTAGGGCATCAGAACTCTTTTATAATAACTTTTATTTTGCTATTATACACTCCAGGGATGGCCCTAGGAGATTCATATTCTGCCAGTTTTCCTGCATCAGCCAAGGACCCAATAGAAGACAGATGACACACTTAAATTAGGATAATTAGAGGATAATTTATTTACACTGGGACAACGTATAAAGGGATGGATAGGGTGTGAGAAACTACAAAGGGATAGTGCTGAGGGTAGCAGTCCTGTAGCTGCCACCTGTATAGGCCCAAGGGAAAATGAGAGGGAGAGGTTACTAGAACCTAGAAAAAGAAAGTTATCTAGAGAAGGATTCCTTGAAGGGAAGAGTGCTCTTTTGTCAAGTCACACAGCCTGAAATGAACTTTTAGGGAGGGATTTAGGGGAATAAACACCCTGACCTCACTCTCCTCCTTCCCTATATCCCCCTGCTGAGGCTCCCCATTAGGCACACTCAATTGGAAACCAGAGAGTATGAGAGCCCATTAATATAATCCATCAGATCATCCTCCTAGGGAAGAGAGAAGAGTGCATAAGAGTAGAAAATGGATCTGGAGAGACAAAAAGAATTTATCCAGAACATTGCCTTTATGGTAGACATCCTCAACCTTTATGAGAGCCTCTCTTGCATCCCCCACCTCGGCTTTAGAGAGAAAAGAACCCTGCCCCTCTCTCATATTGGTAAAAGGGAAGAAAATAGTTCTCTTCAAAACACTAAACTTCAGGGTGCAGATGGGCAAAATGGGTGAAGGTCGTCAAAAGGTACAAACTTCCAGTTACAAAATAAATGTCATAGGGATATAGTGTACAGCATAGTAACTATAGTTAATAATACTGTATTGTATGTTTGAGAGTTGCTAACAGAGTAGATCTTAAAAGTTCTCATCACAAGGAAAAATACTGGTAACTATATGTGGTGATGGATGTTAACTGGACTTGTTGTGGTGATCATTTTGCAATATATACAAATATCAAATCATTGTGTTGTACACCTGAAACTAATATGATGTTATATGTCAATTATATCTCAATTAAAAAACCTCACTAAATTCCACAGAACACTGGTGACCTGTTTTATCTGTTCTCTGTTTATACTGATCGAAATGTGGTGGTTATAATAGAACTAGTTTTGAACTGGCACCTTCAGTAAGCTCTGCATGGGGTGGAAAAATTGAGATGAAGTGGGGGCTAGTGAGAGTCCCCCATTCTAGGATAGGAAGTAGGCAGTGAAAAAGCTATTGATTAAGCAATCACCAATTGTCTTCTGGGGCTCATATCATATGACCACTAAGGGCAAGGCATTAGGAGATTCAACAGCCAACTCTAACAATTTCAGTTTTTGACTCTAAGATACAGCAGAAGAGACAGATGTAAGCTCAAGTTTGCTCAGCTGAAAGAAGACAGGGAAAAGCAGAATATTTATGTAACTCTGTTATGGCAAACTTTTGTTTGTTACAATCGGTGATTTGAGATCCCTGGTGCCAAATCCAGAAATTAATTGTGAGTTTTAATGAATAGTGGCACCTAAATCATCTGCAGCACCTGGTTTCTAACAGTAAAGTTGGTATAATACCGGGGAAAATGGAGAATCCTGGCAACTGAAGAGGATGTCTGGGAGGAACAAGAGATTTTAGGGAGCTCTCCCCCCACACTTCACCACTCCACCAAATACTATCTCCATATGTGCCCCCTAGTTATGACCAAAGATATTACAATATTCCATTGTAAAGTGGTTTCCACCATTAATATGGGAATCCAGCATATGAGGAAAGGATGGTAATATTTAAGGACTGGATTTCCATGCTGCCCTTCATTCCTCATTTATGCCCTTGAGGTCAAGGCAATAAAGCAAAGAGTTCAGCAGAGATGTGTGGAGCTTTCAGGCTTGCTGCGAAGAAACTGAAACTCCACATGGCTCAGTTCTGGCCATTAAGTCTCTGATGATGACCCATATGCTAAATAGCACACTAAATTTCCATGTGAATTTCTTTCTCAGACACAGGAATCATAGGGAAGATAGTTAAAGATATAGGGATACAGCTAAAGATAGATAAATAGGTAGGTAGGTAGGTAGAAAGATAGATAGATAGATAGATAGATAGATAGATAGATAGATAGATGATAGAGAGATGATAGATAGATGATAGATATCTATGTCTATAGATATAGATCTATATGGAGCTATAGATCTATAGATATCTAT